ACCATATGGCCCTGCACCAGAGGCGCCTGACGTATTTGATTGAACAAGATTCTTTTCAGCCTCTGAAGGTTTAACCATAACAGGTTGGCCAAGAAGTAGTTGACCAGAGAGGGCGATAGCCATGGGCACAGACATTGCATCATAAAATTCAACATACCTGCAGTTTCACCAACGCCTCAAAGTAAACTTATTAGAAAATGAGACAATAAAGATAAGAAACAAAACTTAAAAAGCCTCAGAGAAACAAAATACACAAAGTGCAGAGACCTCTGGGTTTCTTCTGACTGATTAGACAAACAGTTCAGTTCATCAAATAAAGAGGCAACACAGAGCCAAATGGCAGATGACCAGTGTAGACCAGAACTAGAAGAGGGAGGGGATCATACGGTGACTATTCACCCACCTTACTAATCTTTTCAATGAGCACATTTGCATACCGAAATCAATCCCCAAACAAAGTCATTATTGAAAATCATCAGACAATAAGTACTGTGAGGAAGTCTAAATACCATAGAAGACCAATTTCCCTTTTTTTTAATTTTTATAAAAAAGCAAGATGATAGAGGAAAAAACAAGCAAGAGCCCTTGATGCATTCTTCCAAGGAAAAAACAGAAGAAAATAGGGAAGAGAAGCAATGATTGAAGATGATACAAGACCAAGCATGATTATTTTAATAAAGCGTCACAAATCAAGGTCAGAAAGTTAATTTGAACTAGGATATTTTATAGTAGAGTGAGATGAATCTAAAACCAAGACCAGAGATAACAGAGTCATAGGAGTTAGGACTGTTTCTTATCTGCACAAAAACATAGAGGAGCAAAATTAGGAGTACGATGGGGAAAACATCAAAGGAAACCTCAGGTTTATGTTATCTACCTTGAACAAGCAGCATGAATTGATTAAACATGACTGCATTGTATTCCCACCATCCCTCATCATTATCGCATTGCTAGTTCTAGTTCATTTAAAAATACAGTTAAATTTGATACTTGAAAACTATTATGTTAATAAACCATATTAACAAGATTACAAGCATAGGATACAAAAATTACTCATCCCAAAACCACATACCCAACTCCTTTTGACCGTCTAGAATTCCTGTCCATAATCAGCCGTACATCTCTCACCTGAAAATAGAAAGAACGACAAGTGCAGGTTATTAGGAAGCCAGCAAAGAGAAAAAGCAATAAAGGTTCCCATTCTTTACACTCGAGGCAAAGCACCATCCGGCCATCAATGAGATCACGACAGAACTCATATATACATTTTCACTCACCCCATATAAACAGAATGTTGAGATAGAAGAAATTGATTATAGTTTCGAAACTGAAGGCAGAGGAACAGTAACTGCAATACGAAGCAAATCTATCTCAATATGTATGCAATCATAACGTTTGTAGCAATAACATTGCAACAAAAATGTATCTATTCTGCTCCATGTTACAGAGGTGAACATGTGCAGGGGGCATGGCACACAGAAGTTATAGATGAAAGCATGACTGCTCGTATCTTTAATTGTTAAATTTCAACAAAAATTAAAAATAAACACTCAAATGCTTCTCTTCAGTAATAAGTTTCAAATACCTTTCCTGCTTTTGAAAAGAATTCGTAAACATCTCTCTCAGTGGCCTTCAAAGGCATCTGTACGAAGAATATAAAGGATAACGAAAATAATCAGCACAATATAATACGTAAAAGGTGAGGAAATTTACAGAAGAGGACATCAACCTGATAAGCAAATACAGTTCTTTGATCCCTCTCTGGATCAGCTTCAGGCTCCACCATGTCTTTCTTTTCCTTCATTCTCCTGCCATTGGCACATCCAAAACATCAGGGAAAAGATGAAAGACAACATAACAATTTAAACAAAAAAATCTTTAAGAAATTAAAAACGACTCGGCTTTTCTTATTCCCATTAAAAGTTAAAACATTTTTTTATTCCCTTAAATCTATCCCATTCCAAACAAAATTATTATCAAGAAACAGAAGCTTTCACCAGACGAGAAAAAAGAACTTAATGTCCTAGGAGATGAGGAATCCCCTTGCGTAAAAGAGGTAACCAAACACAAGTTGATATTGGAATCAGAGAAGTTATACAAGTGTTGTGTAGCCTGTAGAGCACTCCAAGTTGATGCAGTACACTGTATAATCTCACAAAAATCACAAAAATCAACAAAACTCGTGTTTATCAATGAAAATCCTAATGTTTATTTCTTTTCAACCGAAGCAAACAAAAATAATAATAATCTACTGCCGTTGCCAAGTTTGAAAATGAACCTAATTTCAATCAAATATCTAGTCCTATCAATGTCAGCCCAATGGCCTGGGAATTAGCTCTAATATTTACCCGTTTCAAATCCCAGAGCATAAAACGGATTCTAATCTAACTAGATACAATGCCACGTTGTTTAATATGACAATTTCAAGTTTAAAGAAGATATCAACTAGCAATTACCAAAGTTTACACACCACACTTTTCAAGAATAACGAGTAACAAGCAAACCAATAAATCTATACAAGCAACACCCAACAGTCAACGGATAGCTTTCAAGATCACAGTCAACAAAGAACACAGGATCGAACTGGTACCTGTTCTCTCTGACATCAACTTCACGTTCTCGCTCCCGAACAGACCGACTCCTGCTTCGCCGCGATCTCTCCTCTTCTCTTTCCCGCTCCCTCCTCTCCCTATCTCTCCTTTCTCTCTCTTTCTCCTTCTCCTTCTCCTTCTCCTTCTCCTTCTCCTTATCCTTGTCCCTCTCCTTGTCCCTTCTATCCTTGTCTCTCTCCCTCTCCTTCTCCTTGTGTCTCTCTCTATCTCTATCCTTATCCCTTCTGTCCCTGTCTCTCTCCCTCTCCTTCTCCTTGTGTCTCTCTCTATCTCTATCCTCTCTGTTCCTGTCTCTATCCCTCTCCTTCTCACTGCTACCCCTCTCTCTCGTACGGTTCCTCTCTTTTCCCGCATCTGTTTCTTCCTCTCTATCTCTCCGATGCCGATCCCTCCCTCGGCCCGACTGATCCCTGTCCTCCTTCCCATTTTCATGCTCGCTTCTCGACCTCTTGACCTTCACCTCCTCATCCTCGCGGCCACCGGAACCATCTTCCTCGTCTACCTCTCTCTTTCTGCTGCTTTTCTCATTCCTCTCACTCTCATTCTTCTTCGCCTTCTTGGAGTCCCTATTGTCCTGGTCCTCCACAGCTTTCTCCAAGTAATCATACTCGTCGAAGTCCATCGAATCTTCGGAAATTCACCGGCCCGATTGAAGACCCGCGAAATGGAACCTTGAGATCTCGCCGGAACTTGGATTGGAACAGAATCAGCTGAGCCAGGAGGGTCGAAATTTCGATAAAATTGAAAATTCTAGGGTTTTTTAAGGGGTTTCCAGGAGAAGAACGATTGGTTGGCTTGGAGTTGTCAATAATCCGGCCGCGAGTGAAAGACTTAAGGGGGTTTTTTATACGGATGGGAACAGATCAGATTCTATAATTGAAAATTAGCGTTCACTTAAGAATTGTTTCCGCACAAAAAAAATGTTGGAAGATAACCATTAATATGCTTTGCATTTGTCAGCTTAATAATTATAATTAATTATATCTTTATCCAACAAAAAAAATTATAATTAATTATATTGAAAGTATGTTGGCAAAAGGATTTCGTATATTTCTTTTAAAAACTAATTGCTAACAATAACAACATCTTTTAATAATATATATATTATGTTTCTATTTTTTTTATTAATATAGTTAAATCAAAATGCTATTTTGTAATGCTCTTGAAAAATTGGGAAGTGAGGGAGTTACTTGTTTAGGCTAGTTTAGTAATTATTAGACCGTTCAAAATTTACTAGAAGGGTAACATAAATATATACTCAGCTCAACTAGAAATATAAATCAAATTTCGATTGATTAAGTATGATTATTTTTATAATATATTCATATGCTGATATGTTTGTTTATTGTTTGTTGTTTTCCATTTCATATTTTTGTTTACCATTTCTTAATTTTCAAAACAACAAAACTACGTTTTAACTGTTTAGTTATTTATTGTGAGTCACCACTTCAACAGGAGATCGAACAAAGGAACATGTAATGACATGTTTGAAAACTATTTATTATTGATTGTTATCTACCATTTTAGATTTTAAAAGAGTAAAAATCTAAAAATGAGGGTGAACTGGTAAAAGATTAGGAATAAGCACACATAAAACAGAACTTCATTTGTTATTTTTATAATTTTTAAACAAATATGGAAATGTTTATCAAATTGAGAGACGATAAATAAGAACAGTCACCAAGACTTATATTTTTTATTTATTGAGAATGAGATATAAAAAAAAAAATAAACGAAATGTCACCAAACGAGTCTAAATTAAACTTTACCATTTTGTAGTTTTGACAGATTGAAAATGTTATCGTTGTGAATTAGCTTATTAATTTTTTCTTTTAACTTCTCATTCGAAAAATGTTCTTAAAAACGTTATTATACTGATTCAGTTGCTTCAAAAGAAACCCGTCTAAGCTACAAATACATAATAGAGCCGAGTTATTGATGTGAGATAGATTAAAAGAAAAATAATATAAGGCGCCAGAATGGCATTCTTCACCGAACACAACCTATGGTTTAATTTGAGAGAATTACAATTTAAAGAGTGTTTAGTATAATTTTCTTAATAGTATTGGATAATTAAAGTATTTATTAAAAAAAAATTTACATCAATGGGTAATCAATTAAAAATATTTTGTAAAAATTAAATTGCTTTGAAATACCTATCTGAAGAAACACTTTAGAGATGATTGTCCAAAACATTAATTCAAGAACTTAGGAGATGATTAAAAAACAAAACAAAACAAAACAAGATGCTTAAATTAAAAGATATACCAAATTCACCCTTAGCTGACCATCAAAATGGAGAAGACCCATTTCCATTATTGGTATGCCAAAAGAGGTCCTTAGGTGGTCGATTAGAAACAAAATAATAAATCCTTCCTTATGGGTTCATTTGATAACTGTTTCGTTTCTTGTTTTGTTTCAACCTTTTTCATTTGAGAAACAGTAACCAATATCAAAGAGATCTTGTGTCTTCCATCAAAGGCTTTCTATCATTACTATGAGGATACTACAACAAACACACCCAATCAGCACCTGATTCTACAAGCACATCAATAAACGTACTAACAAATCAAGAACCACCATTTATGACTCACACTTGAACACAAAAATTCAAGATAGGCAAAATGGTTCACCTCCCCAACAAGCCTTTCTTCCCTGTCACATAAGGCTACTACTACAACTTCCTTACTATTTATAGGATAAGAAACTGCCTCCTATAATTACCAGGGATCTCTCATTTTCTCCATGCCCTTTACTTCAGTCTGTTCAAAGTTATTCTCTCAGCCTGTCTATCAACTCTCTCCAATGGAGTAATAACTTGTGGCATCGTCATGCCACCGGAAACGATAATCTCTGCACAAATGCCAGAAATGAGATGAAAATGAATGAGAATTGAAGTTTGACTTAGTTTTGGGTTAAGCGACAGTTTCTCATTCCTCTCACAGTCTCACTTCTCTTACTGAGGTTTTTAGATTTAAATGCAGAATACGTGCAGATGCTAGAAGAAAAATCCAAGTAATCTGTCACATTAGATTAACATTGGGCCTTGGCAAACGCCAAACCTTTCTAGTTTCTGACTTATATGAAAATATAGCACAACTTATGTGGGGCTAAATATAAATAAACAAGCAGTTCAATGCATCAAAACAAACGACTACTTTATGGAATCAAAATTTACAGAGAATATGAAAAACTGAGTGGTAAGTATTGATATGAAAACAGACGAACAAACCTTTTTTAGTGCAGTGTTACATATAACATGACGAAAGCAATAGGTTACAGTGAGCTTTAAATTAAAGAGAAATAACATACCTATTCCTTCCCGTATAGATAAGTTTGGTCTTATGATGTCCTTTGAATTAACGAGGAATATATCCCCAATGTATAGATGATTTGTTGGGACAAAAACACTACATAACTCTTCATCTTCATTCTCTCTCTGCGAGTGAAAATCAATAAGCAATTGTAACATTTCCAAAAAGGCAAAGAAACATTCGTAGAGTAAATTTCCAAAAGTTGACGGGAAAAAGCATACAGTCAATGTTCAGAACAAATAATATATAATCCCCAACTTTGGAACGCACAGCTACCAGTGCCAAAGAAAAAGATGATAACTGAGATCTAAGAAACATGTTAGATGAATCTACCATTTGCCATTTGTGGAGGAAAGAGAAAAAGAAAAAAGAAGAATTCTCATATCCATATTTGGGCTAACTCTGTTTACAATCTCAGCTCCCACCTAAAATCCTGGATGGCTTAAGTATCCAAGAGCTTTAATTTAAGCCCCATCGTCAACATGATATTAGCCTCACTCAAAAGCCTAGTTCCTCTTTAGTATCAAAATATTTGGGGGCCATTCATGATTTTTTTATTTATTAATTTTTTTATTACAAATCTCCTAAGTTAATAAATAAAATTCCTCCCTTTCAATATTCCTCCTAAACCTTTGCATCACACAACCAGGCAAATCATCAATCTGAAAAGATTTTCCCCCAATTTCTTTTATAATGTCTTCTTCAAAAACAGGGTGGGAGAGCCATATTTAAAATTTGAAGGGCATGGGATCCCAAGTCCAACATTCCACGGAGAGAATATTTGTGCACTCTATGGATAGTTTTTGCAGAAGAAATGGAGCGTATCAAAGGTAAATGACAGGAATGCTTTTGGGGTAATTGGTGTAATTAGGACTATTAATAGAATAATAAGGGTATATTAGTAATTAGTTAAGGAATTGGTTTGAAGGGATTTGTTATAAAAACAGTGAGGGGGGCATGGATGAAGACGGGTAATTGTTTAATGTGGTTTAGACTTGAAATAAGAATGTTCAAGAGAAGGGAGGGTGCAAATACCTCGAATTACATGCGAGTTTTGTAGTTCTTATATATTTTATATTTCAATATATTATAGTATTTGGTTCCATCAATAACATACAAAGAATTTTTAGCAAATAAAATATATAGTGCATAAATAGAAGTACCTGAAGATCAGGTTTCTTATTTTAGAAAAAAAAAAGTACCTGAAGGGTAACGGTAGAAGTAATAAAGCCAAATGCATATTCACCGACACGGGGGTGACGAATAATTGCAACTTCTTTGAAAGCTGTAGTGTTTTGATCTGCATAGGAGATAAAGCTGTTAGACTTATTACATTAACGGACATTTGAATTTTGAAACGATAATACACAAAAAGTTACTCATCGGATAATAAAATTGCCATGCAACATTACATAATAGAATATGAGTGCTTTAACAAAATTACCAGGAGAAATTGCTGCACTTATTTGTTTGGAGGCTGAATATAAATGCCTGACAAAAGGCATTCGCTGGATGAACCATTCTCCAAGCCAGAAGAGTGTAGCACCCAACCATGATGAGACAAATATACCAACGAAGAATACAAAGAGTAGAGATGTTATGAACCCAAGTCCTGCATCAAAAACCTGCCTCATGAGACACTTTCAGAAAATGATAAACTTATATGCAAGGCAACAACAACAATATTATGCATGGCAGACTTACAACCATAGGAATTCTAGAAAAGGAAAATTCCAATTTAACTTAAATGTCTACATAGTGCCTTGACTGCCTTCTATTGATGGTAGGCGCCATGCTAACACCATGAAAGCATTGGGTGTTACATAAATTGGATATCGAGTGGTTATAAGAGAAATAGCCAACAGAACTAGTCAACTGGAACCATCCAAGTAAGGTGAGTCTCCTCTTGGCTGGTGTGTTCCGGCAAATAGAAACTCATGGAAGTATTTTACCTTTTTAAACCGTTGGGAACAAATTGTAACTTTCCGGCTTGCAAATTGGAAAAAAACCTTATTTTATAAGGACAGGAGGATGGGTAATAAGTCCCTCAAGGAGACTTTTCCTAGCCTCTAAGACCTCTCAAATCACAAAATAAGAAACATTGAAGAAGCTGGGAACACTATTGTTTCCTGTTAAAATTTGGAGAATAGAAGGTCTCTTGGTGATTTATTAATTAAGGAATGGCATCCCATCTTTGGCAGTTTCACAACCCATGGATATGGAGGATGAAAGAATTTGGAGCAATCGACATGGAAGAGCTCCAAGAAAGTTTTGAGTTTTTTTTCTTCTCTCCTTTTTTTTTTTTTGGGATGGGGAACTTTATCCATCTCAAGGTCAATACTTAAGATAGAAGACAAAAAAAAAAAAAGAATCCAAACTTCACTTCATTCTGTTATTTGTGCATTATTTATCAAAGCAAAGAAGAGACTTGGATCACCTTGGTTTTGAGCTCTTTTGCGGTACTCATGGCACCTTGAGTTTCAAATTTCAACCAATGATTGGGGCCACCCCTGCACAGTTGGAGATTTATTATTTGGTATAGCTGTTTGGGTTTTTAGATAAGAGGAAAACCTTAGGACTTAATCGGATGGAAAGGAATTGATGTAGTCTGAAGACATCTATTTCAACCCCGCAAGATACTTTTCAACAAAAATCATTCTGTATTTCTAAATGGTGTGTCCTTATTAGTTTTTCTCTTTCAAAAGTATTCCTCTTTTGACATCCAAGTCGAATGGGAGTTTTTCTAGAGGGGAAAAACTCATTTGGATTGGTAGTTCATCGGGTGAGTTGGAGGTCCCCTATTCTTCCCCTTGTATTACTCTTGACTTGTAAAATTTTATTTTCTACACACACAAAGGATGAGGAGGAGAAGAGAGGAATCATCCAATTAGAAGAAATATTCTAAAACTCCATTACCCAGCAAAAGGAAATACATGCTCATGTATTCTTATGCTTCAAACACAACTGTCAAGGAACTAACCATATTTGTAAGTGATGCTTCATCTTCTAAACCATAATCTGAAAATTGCTGTTCATTCCTCTTCAGAATGCAAAAACATTCTCGTGTTATTTGCACCAAGGCCAACGTGAAGTTTTAAGATATGTATATCCAAATAAGCATTTTTGTACATAGATCTTCTAAACACTTGGAAGTTAAACCTTACCAAATATGTCAACTCCAAGCCGCTCATAAAGTGGACTAAAGAAACCATCAACAAATTGAATGAACCACCATGTAACAAAAAAGGTAACAGCAACAGGGAAGAGAACCACACTGCAAGATGAACAATTGAACAAAATGTTGGAAATTGTTAGACAGCAAGAGCCACAACACAAAGAAATGTAAGATGATGGGCAGCTCAATTACCATCCAGTCATAAACTTCTTTGACACCCAACTTTGGAGAACATAATAGCAAGCCTGGAAAGGATAGAGGGAATTTAAACGTCAGATGCAAATGAAAGAGAAGAAGAAAATCTAGTATTCACACAATGACAACAACAAAAATAATAATAAATCTAATAAAACAGAAAGAAGAAGAAGAAAGAAAGAAAAGAGAAGACGAAATTAAAAGATATATTATATTCAATATTCAACATACAACCACCAAAAAAAAAAAAGGAAGGAACAGAATGAATTTTACTGTCCAATACTTCTTGCTTCCTACATACTAACTGAACGAGTATATCTCTAAACCCCATACTATGACTTCAAGGATGAGATATCTATTGAAAGTTGAAGCTTTCATAATAAATTCCTTTGACGTGCTTCTTTAAAGTTTTCAATTTATGATAACCTTGTAAGAAACTGAATACAGGTGCAGAATAGCTGGTAATACCGGAGAAGGGAGTGCCAGAGCATTCAACCTAAAAGAAGATATCTTGGATGGGTTTGTAGCTACAAAATTCTAAAGCTTGAGCTGCATAAGAATAAATTAGTGTCGACATTTGTTTTTCATTCTGCAAGAGATCAATCCTGCAGGTTATAGAATGGACATTCCTCGAGACTTTCAGGCCTTCAACAAAAGTTGTCACCAATAAATTGCACTTCTATATTCTGGTTTAAATTGTATCATCAAATTTGTAGAATCGCCATATCAGTTTTCATATTTTGACCCAGTAAAATGTTGTCAAAATCCAAACCAGTCAAATTCGCCTACACCACAAATGTCATGGCCAGCGATTGTTCTACTAATTGTTGCCTGGTGCTGACACTTCTTATGCTAGATTCTACAATTATAGTCTACTTTACAACATGATGAATAATATATTTAACAACAAATCTTCTAGTGAGCTCAATTTTATATATATGGCCCGACTATCATCTGAAGGAAATAATAACTTAACATAATCGAGCCCACATTTTAATTGAGCACCAGAGCGGTGCATGCTTCTGCATTTCCTTCGATCACTTCCTACCATGCATTTTATATCTTTAGAATTAACTCGACCATTTCCCACTTATCTGATAAGCATCGATTCCTAAAACCCGATTCTCGGTTCGATTCGGATATTTCCAGATAATACTCAGAATTTTCAATTATCGATCCGAAACTGATATTTTCAAAGTGAATTTTCCACCAGATCAAACATAGAAAACCTAACATCCTTTTGACCATTCAAGGGCAAAAATTAGAAGAAAATCGTCAACGAAAAAAAAACAGGCCGCGTCCAAGCACCGGGATCCAATTAATCCGGCCAAATGGATCCGAAATCCGAGCACATTTCGGAGCAGCATATGCAAATAATGCAACAGCCAATAAATAGAAAACAAAAAATAGACGGCAGAGATAGAAGAGCGTAAATAAGATCCAGACCTTACGAGTGGAGGAGTTGGGAGAACTTGGAGGAGATTTGACAGGATCCTCGGGATCCTGACCACCATTATCAACTTGACTAAGAGGAACCGAGGTCGATTCCTTTTCTTCAGCCATAACTTTCTTAGAATCAGTTAGAATCTACTCGTATCTCCGACGAATCGGTAATTAGCACCTCTATAGGAGAAAAAGAGAGAGGATGATGCAAAATCCGAATCCGAGTTCACAGCAATGATCGGCTGATAAAAGGGGGAGAAATCGGTGAGCAGTTGCAGTAATGAAAAAGACATAGAACACCAAAATGGGGTTAGTTGAAACCGCAAGCGATGCCAGACGCATAACCACGTGATTAGGAAGTGGAGATGTACTTTAGAGCAACCATCGCTGGACCTTATCCTCGTAATAATCGCTTGTTGCTGCTGTTAATGGCGTCTCGACTACTCCAAAACTCTGCCCGGCCTCACTCTGTGGATATTGTCATGGAAAACATGACGAAGATCAGCAGCGGATAATTCTATCTTCGGTTCATAGCCTAAACCATCTGATTAAATTTTGTCTAAATTTGTCGCTTAATTGTTTTTTTCTTTTTTTCTTTTGGTTTGATTAGCAAATCTTTAGGAATTTCCACGATTATACACTTTTTCCCGGATCATATTTTAACCTATGTTTTTTGATGAGTCGAATTACATTTTTAATACATGACTTTGAAGTTTTGAATTTTAATTTTATCTTCCATCAATCCTAAAATATATTGTTTCAGGTTCATAAATCTTAAAAAAAATTTAGTGGTGATTTGAATTTTCTAAAGCATCTCCTTCTTCATATCATCCAATCTTTCATTCCTACATTTTGTTTTACCGAATAAAATTTAGTAAGCATTTAAAAATTTATTACACTCAAATTAAAAATACAAAAGTATTTTTACTACACGTATTACATGCGAGATATAATTTAACATTTTTTCTTTTAATACTTTATTTGATTCCACACAAAACATGTATATACACACACTTTATTCGATGATAATTTCTATATATTATTTATTTTTTCAAAGTATACATTTTAGACTGTCACTTTAAAAAACAAAGTCTACTTTGTCTAAATTTTATTTGTTTGTGCTTTCAAGACCTTTTAATTCGGAATGATTGGCTAACCAAATTATCTATCACATATAGTTAAGTTTGAAAATTTAAAAGTATTTACGACTGAAAAGATATTCACAATTATATTTTCATTTAAAATAATAAAATTAAATTTTAACTATGGATAAAATTGTCTAAACATGATCTATAACGTAGTACATTTAATACATTAATAATTTTCATATTTCAATGTCCATATCAAATGAACAAATATTTAAGACAGATGTATCCTTGAGTCGGATTTGACGTTATAAATGGCTTGTTTTTGTTCTAAACAAAATATATATACATATATAATAATAAACAAAATTGCTTGTTTATTTAAATAATAATAATAATAATTGTTCATTTAACTGATTGACTACATAATCCTATTTATAGCATTAATGTATTAACACTGGTTATGACATTTGCAGATTCTTTGCATTAAAAAATAACCTTTTAATATATATATATATATATATATATATATATATATATGTATATATGTATATTATACTAGCTATTTGTTGTAATTTATTTATATTTTGATATTTGCTACTTGTGGGTTATATTACGCAATATTCATAAATCCAATATCTCACCCCCAACCCACTATATTCGAAAATATTATATTATGTGTTGAAGTACAATCCAGAAGAAATTAAGTTCTTTTTTTTTTATTTGTCAAACACGATGATCCCGAAAACACTCCTAATCGAATTACACAAAGTTATTAGAGACATAAATAAATATTTGAAAGTTTAAAATATTAAAGACCACAAAAGTGTGTGTCTATAACGTGTAGATCGTTTGAGTTTGAATCACTACCTCAAAATAAAATGAGTACCCACATTTATGACTAAGTCTCTACTAATTAAGATATATATTACTTATCAAAATGTTAGAAACGAATAAATATTCACATATTACTAAAATAAATATTGTCCTAAAATTAGTTTACTTTTTTATTTTTCAACTGACTTAATAATGTCATTGCCATTATCCATGGATCTAAGATGACTTGGACAAATAAATAATAAATAACCAATACATTTACGATATTAATTATGGATAATAATACAATTAGACATTTATAGGTATCTAATTACATAAATGTCTAATAATTATAATATTTACATATTTGTCGAAGTTTGTTCACGATGAGCTCATGTGAAAATTACCAAGTTACCCATATCATATATATCTTAATAAATAAATAATATCCTATAGTATAGACCAACCAGAAATAATTTATATTTTTAATAAATAAATAAAATTATATTCTATAAACAAATAATATGTACCGAATAAGTACATTAATCAATTACTATTAATTATTTATTAAAACATTACCATTTAATTATGAATGTAAATCTTATATTATTATTATTTTTGAGTACTGAATGTAAATATTTTAATTAAACGACGATCCATTCAATTTAATGATATCTTAAAGACAAATTGGGAAAAAGAAGCTTATTTAAATCCTGAAAATATAAATTTGTAAATATTTTTAAAAGCAGATATGTGTGAAATACCATGTATAGTATAATTTTGTTTAAAAAAAAATGTATAGTATAATTAATTCACCCAACACATTTTTCGATTAATTATATACGTGTGCGTTCGTGTGACAGTGTTTATTTGTTCAGAAAAAAATAAATAATAACAGTTGAGAAGTCAATTTATAGGAGCGCAAAAAAAGGGCTTGTGTGGGACCCACCACAGCCCAAAATACGGAACGCGCGCCAAACTCGAAATGCGCGCTAATTACAACTTATTTGGCGCCGGCTTCTCCCGCAAGCCGCCGCGAAATAAAGCTTCTCCAGCAATTTTCATTTTACGAGGCTTCCGGGGGAAGTTTTCAATTTCTCGTGCCATATTTGATTTTGTTTTCTTATTTTCTTTATTTCTCAACGCAGAATTTATGGAGAATTAACATAAAGTAAGTAGACTAATCAAACCTTTCAAAAACTGTCCCTAATAGCTCTCAACTATACCCGTAACTATATTTGACATCTGATAAAGATTTACACCAAATTAAATTTTATAACCTTACAAACGGCTGTGAAATTTCAATTTTGATGTCTAATAAATCTGTAAATTTAAAAGAGTTTTCAAATTTATTTTTACGATTTTTTGATGTCTAATATATTAGACACAAAATTAAAATTTAAAACATCTATCGGATCAATTCCAAGATTCTGGGAAGATCTTGAAAGATTTTAGATTTGTTTACTATTCTTTTGTAGTTTATGAAAAATAATCCAATTATAATGATAAAATTCACACATTTTAAAATTATAATAGTCAAATTGAGAATTGATTCCTACCATGGAAACCAAATTAATAATCTAACAAAAATAATTAAATRCACAACACACAGCATCAATCCACGGATTCTTATTTTATTAAATTGCTTTTACACGAAGCGTAGATAAAATATATAAAATATTTATTTTCTTCAATGCATTTTTAACCGACCCGACCCGACAAATATACAAGTCTAAAACGAACCGAAAACACATCAAGAAATGCACCCACCGATTTTTCCCCACTAAAAAATCCAGTGTTTTGCGCGGGAAAATTTCGAACTTTTCTGGAATTTCCACCTCCAAATTTTGTAAATTTCTCTCTGTTTCTCGCCCTACCGCATTCGTGTTCTTATATAACCCAATTGTTGTCCCTGCCGTCTCTGCACGGATCCCGTTCGACGAAATTCCTTCGTTAGATTATTCTTGTAAAGATGTATGTGGTGAAGAGAGATGGGCGGCAGGAGGCGGTGCATTTTGACAAGATCACTGCCCGTTTGAAGAAGCTTAGTTATGGCCTCAGTATTGACCACTGTGATCCGGTTCTGGTGTCCCAGAAGGTCTGTGCCGGCGTTTACAAGGGCGTTACCACTAGCCAGCTCGATGAATTGGCCGCTGAAACCGCCGCTGCCATGACCGCCAATCATCCTGACTATGCCTCCGTGAGTTCTCACTCTTCTCTCCCTCAATTTCGCAATCCGTACTTTGATTCACTTTCAATTATCAATTTATTGTATGATACATGGGTCGATCTATGGTTGTAGATATAAACATATGGCATATCTAGTTTTCTTTTGTGTGATAATGGTTTGTTGATGGTTATGACTGGTAGTTGTGGGCAGAGGAATGCGTTTTAATTTGCTAATTTTCTGTCTGTTTGTTTAACCCAGTTGGCTGCTAGAATTGCTGTTTCAAATCTGCATAAGAACACGAAAAAGTTATTCTCAGAGACGTAAGTTTTGTGTATGCCTCTCTTCTACCACTCTATATGAATGCATTATAGTATTCAATTGAGGGACTGTATTATTCTATGATGAACTTGAAATTAATTTTCAATCTTCTTTGGTGTTTAGCATCAAAGATATGTACAGCCATGTCAGTGAAAGATCAGGACAGAAGGCTTCTCTCATAGCAGATGATGTTTATGAAGCAATCATGAAGGTAGTATTGTAGTCTTTATTGAATTTTAAGTGCCTTTGTTTTTAAATGAAATTCTTCCGGGGATTTGTTGATTTGTTATGACATTTGTTCTTTCCTTCTTTTTTTTTTAATTAAAAAAAATAGAATTTGGTTGTTGATGATGAATTTTTTTTCATCAAATTTTAAGTTGCAAATGAGTACGTTTGTAGATTTTTAAGCGTTGGGATATCTGTCGGATGCTTCTTCTAACACACACTGCTTATTTAACGGATTTATCTTCCCTTTGTTTTAATTGTCCAGAATGCTGCTCGGTTGGATAGTGAAATCATATATGACCGAGACTTTGATTATGACTATTTTGGTTTCAAAACTCTGGAAAGGTCATACCTTTTGAAGGTTCAGGGTAAGGTTGTGGAGAGACCTCAACACATGCTAATGAGGGTTGCTGTTGGTATTCACAAGGATGATATTGAATCTGCTATCAAAACATACCACACTATGTCTCAACGGTGGTTTACTCATGCATCTCCCACCCTTTTCAACTCTGGAACCCCAAGGCCCCAAGTATGTTTTGAGTTTATTGATGCCTAATTTTAAAATATGCTAATATGGCTGATGTTTTTTCATATTAGATATTTGGCCGTTAAAGAATGATTTTCATGGTTTTGCTCATTGACATGACAGCTTAGCAGCTGTTTCCTTGTATGTATGAAAGATGACAGTATAGAAGGGATATATGATACCTTAAAGGAGTGTGCTGTTATTAGCAAATCAGCTGGTGGTATTGGTGTTTCCATCCACAACATTCGTGCCATGGGCAGTTACATTCGTGGAACAAATGGGACCTCTAATGGAATTGTGCCCATGCTGCGGGTTTTCAATGATACTGCTCGATATGTTGATCAAGGAGGAGGCAAGAGGAAAGGTACTGTACTTCTGATCTGGTCTCATTTGGTTTTT